TGCTCAGCATGTTTTTGAAATTAATTCATGTTCTTTTGTGTATCATTAGTTCATTCTTTTTGTTAGTAAGTTGTATTCCATTGTATGGACATACCATAATTTGTTCATCCACCTATGGACATTTGATGTGTTTCCAATTTTTGGCTATTATGAATAAACTTGCCACGAACATTTATGTGCCAATCTCTGTGTGGACATGTGTTGTCATTTCTTTTTATTAAATATCTAGGAATTTGATTGTTGAATCCTACGGTAAGTGCCTGTTTAATTTTATAAGAAAGTTCTAGTTTGTTTTCCGATGTTGTTGTGGCATTTTCTTTTCCCAGGAGCAACATATGAGGATTCCAGTTGACTCATATCATGGCCGAGACTTGATATTCTCAATCTTTTTAATTTTAGCCATTATGGTGGGTGTGTAATGGTATCTCACTGTGGTTTTTAATTAGCATTTCCCTGAAGACTAATGACATTGAGCATCTTTTCAAGTGTTTATTGGCCATTTTTATATATTCTTTTGTGAAGTGTCTGTTCAATCCTTTGCCCATTGAACTGTCTGTTCTATCTTTTTAAAAATTGGGTTAGTCTGTCTTATTATGGAGTCATAAGAGTTCTTTATATAACTTGGGTACAAATCTCTTGTCAGATATATGTACTGCAGATACTTTCTCCCAGTCTATGTCTTCCCTTTCCATTTTCTTTACTTTCTTCCTTTTTTTTTTTTTTTCGTGAGGAAGTTCAGCCCTGAGCTAACATCCATGCCAATCCTCCTCTTTCTGCTGAGGAAGACTGGCCCTGGGCTAACATCCATGCCCATCTTCCTCTACTTTTTTGTATGGGACACCGCCACAGCATGGCCTGACAAGCGGTGCACTGGTGCGTGCCTGTGATCTGAACCCGGGCTGCCAACAGTGGAGTTCGTACACTTAACTGCTACTCCATGGGGCAGCTCCCACTTTCCGTTTTCTTAATGGTGGCTTTCAAGAAGCAGAAGTTTTAAAATTTTTGATGAAGCACAATTTATCATTTTTTTCTTTTTCTTTTGTACCTTTTATGTCCTATCTAAGAAATCTTTGCCTACATCAAGATCATAGAGATTTTTCTCATGTGATTTCTTGTAGAAGTTTTATAGTTTTAACTTACATGTTTAGCCTATACCCATTTCAAATTAAATTTTTTGTATTAGAAAAGGTTTGAGGCTCACTATTATTTCATATAGATATCCCATTTTTTTTGCATTATTTGTTGAAAAGACTTCCCTATTCTCTATTGAATTACTTAGGTGACTTTGTAGAAAATTAATGGACCATATCTGTGTGGGTCTATTTTTGGATTCTCTGTTTTGTCTCAGTGATCTCTATGCATATCCTTGCAGTAATAATGCACTGTCTCCATTATGTAGGTGTATAGTAAGCCTTGGAGTCAAATGCGCTAATCTTCCAAATTTGTTCTTTTTCAAAATATATTGGTATTCTGGGATTTTGTATTTTCTCAACATTTCTTCAAAAATACTTGATGAGATTTTGCCTGGGACAGCAGTGAATCTGTAGATTCCTTTGGGAGAATTGCTATCTTAACAATTTTGAGTGTTAGACTTCATGAATATGATTTCTCTCTCTCCATTTAGTTAGGTCTTTTTAACATTCTCTCAGCAATATGACACATTTCAGGATATAGGTCTCATATGTATTTTGTTAAATTCTTATTTTTGATTCTATTATAAATGTCATTTGACATTTTTTCAAACTATTTGATATTAGTTTATAGAAATGAAATTTTTTTGTAAATTTACCTCACGTTCTATCACCTTCCTAAATTTACTTATTTCCTGTAGATTTTTTTTCCTTTTGTATTCCTCAGAATCTTTCTTTTCTATGTACATAATCATGTCCTATGAGAATATAGAAAGTTTTATTTATCCTTTTCATTCATTGTTTCTCTTGCTTTATTGTACTGGTTAGGACCTCTGTTTGAGGAGGAGTGATGATAGTAGGCATCCTTGCCTTTTTCCAGTCTTACAAAGAGAAGTGTGGAGTCTTTTACTATGATGTGTCAGGTCAGCTGTAGGTTTTTTGTAGATCCTCTTTATCATTTTGAGGCAATTCCCTTCTATTATTGATTGAGACTTTCATCATGCATGGGAGTTTATTTTTGTTATATGATTTTCTGCATCTATTAAGATGATTCTATAGATTTCCTCTTTTAGTCACTTAATACAGTATATTCCTTTGATTGGTTTGAATGTTAAACACAACTTATACTTCTTGGATAAATGCCACTTGGTCATGCTTTATTTATCCTACTTTTGTATACATTGCTAGATTTGCTTGGGTAATATTTTGTTAAGGAATTTTGTGTTGATATTCATAATGGATATTGGTCTATTATTTTCTTTTTTAAAATGTCTCTTTATGTTTATGGCATTGGAGAAATACAGGGTTTATATATTGTAGGGGGAAGAGGGAGAATCCCCCTCTGCCCTTTCCCTCAAGGTTCTTATGGCTGGCCAAATAATCAACAACACAGGTTAGCAGGAGAAAATAATACCAAGTTTAATAACATGTATACATGGGAGAAAGCAGGGACACTGCGTTTCTCAACACAATAGCAGAAATTCTCGTCTTAAATACCATTTTCAGCCAATGACAAAGGAGGATTTTGGGGGTGGGG